TGGGCCACCAGCTCAAAAAAATGACATAAAAACTTATTCATTATGAAAGCTTGTCCTATAGCTAAGGCCTACAGCTTAGACTTGTCCCACTAGCTCTTATAACTTAACCATTTCTTTTCATCTACATGTTGCCATGTGACTGTGGCTTTTACCTCTCCTCCTGCAGGTTTTGCTTCCTCTGCATGCTGTTTGTGACTCCGTCTTTCTTCTTCCCAGAACTCTCTCTGTCCAGAAGTTCTGCCTATACCTCCTGCCTAGCTGTTGGCCGTTTAGCTTTTTATTAAACCGACCACCACAGTGACATAAGTTCACAGTGTTAAAAAAAAAATCCCACAACACTAACTTTAAACTATATTCAAATGCCTTTCCTGAACAGAGATGAGACTTGCTTTATTGCTGGGAAAATCCCCTGTCTGCAAATGTGTCTGACAGGATAATGAACGCGGGAAGAGTGGTACACACATCAATAGTGGGCTCTTTGCTTCAGGTCCAGCTAACGGAGAAGATGACTTTTTTTTTTCTTAAGAGTACTAGGAATTAAACTGGGCATTCAGCTTATGCCTTATAATTCCAGTACCTGGGAGACTGAGATAGGAGGATTGGCAAATATTTGATGCCTCTCGGGGGCATATATAATGAGTTCCATTCTAGCATGAGACACAGAGTAAAACTGTCTCAAAAAAATGTGTGTGTGTATGGTGGGGTGGGGTGGGCTGGAGGGGTGTCAGGCTGGGGAGGTGGCTCAGACAGTCAGCTCCATGCTGTGCAAGCAGAAGGTCCTGAATAGCATCCCCAACACTAACATAGGAAGCTGGGTTTCACAACATGGTCTGCAACCATGGCATTGCAGGGGGTGTGGGTGTTAGGGCAGAGAAAAGCTCCTTGGCCTGTCAACCTAATCAAGTGATGAGCTCTAGGTTCAGCGAGACACCCGTTCTCACAAAACTAAGGTGTTCCTGGGGATGGAGGGTACAAACATGGTCAAGATACGTTATAGGCTTGCGTGGAATAAACTGTCAAAGAATAAGCATTCTTAGTTTTAAGAACAAAATAAACACTGTGAAGAATAACTGTGGAAGACCCTTTACACCAACCTCTGGCCTCCACTCCTAGCCACACAAGTGTATTCACGCATAAACACACATACCCTGGGCACAAATACACACCAACTAATAAGTAAAAAAGATTATTTGAAATTAAAAGTCTCTCTGGGGGTAGGCACAGTGTCTCAGCGAGCATAAGTCAATCACTTTCGACAACCTGAGTTCATTTTCTGGGATTCACAAGGTGGAAGGTGTGGTAGGAAGTCTTACAGCCAGTGGTTACCCGCCCACTGGGGCGTGGCCTCATATACTATATAAGCCAATGTAGAGCATGCATCTGCGCTCTTTCCAGTTACTGGATTCGGTTTCTGTTCTCCGTTCAAGCAGAGGATTCTGATTTGTGAGTTTACCCCTTAATAAATAACCATCTATTTCTCAATTCTGAGCTCGTGTGGGATTTCTTTTAAGCGTCCTTCCACAGGAAGGAGGGAACTGACTCCCATAGGCAGTCCTGTGATCTCTGCACACACACACACACACACACACACACACATACACACACACACTGTGCCATGCACACTCGAATGTACTACTCCTTGCACACACAAAAATAAATAATAACCGCAGTCAACCTACATTTTCAATTCATTATTTTTTTAAAAAAAAATATGTCTGGAAAGAAGGGAAAGCCTAGTGCTTAGGAGAAGGAGAGACATCTAAACACAGATAGGTGCTGGGAGCCCTGGAACTTTACTCACGGGAGGCAGGATCTGCAAAAGGCTTCCCTGTACTCTACCCCAGCAGTGAGTCACCACCCTGTCGGGTGTAGTATTGCTTGCCTATGGTCTCTGACATAGATTGTTCATACACTCAGAACTTGGCGTTAGATTACACCACGTAACGAACATTAGGGAGGAGAGAGCAAAATATAAAAATGAGACGCACGCTGCCAAAAAGTAAAAGCAGATGAGGTGTGTAATCACACCACACGCATACAGATGAAGAGAAGATAGTGCCTCTTGAAAGTGGAGGCTGATTAATGTCATTAATGATATATAGGCCTTTCATTTAGAAGTCAGAGGCTGTCTGGTCCTCCGGGTCGTGAGAATCTACTTTACTAGGCTTTTAACATTACTAAGCACAATTCCAAAGGCTTGAGTCCTAGCAGGACCACTCCCCGACTGGAGTCGCTCACACCGATGCCTCCTTTAAAGAGAGGTTTATAAGCCCACTCCAGGGGTAATAACATGTTGCTCGTCTTTGGAAAGACTTTCATCCTTATAGAAGTCCTAGTAGCATTTTAAAAAGCCAATAATGCTGACTCCAGTTAATTCATGGTCCGCAAAACAGACCTAGGCTTCTGATGACCGACTTAAAACAGGCGTTGAGAGCTCTCCGCCTCTGGGCTAACTGCACAGCAAGGTGATCGGACTCTTGACTCCTACCGCTCCAGGAGGTAAGGGAGTGAGAAAAGACCACCCGGAAGGCAAAGCCCCGTGACCGTGACCGCATCCCCCTTCCCTCCTACGGTTAAGCAGGTGGTTTGTCTCTTCACGGGTGATGGATGACACCCTTTTATAGGTCACTTTTATAGTCCTGCTATAAACTCGTAGTTTATTTTCTCTTTAGGGGTAAAGAGCAAAGCAACTGGTCGTATTGCCCATTACAGGCTGAGCAGCCTTTATCAGAGATGGTCAGAACCAAAGTGTCCAGCTCGGGCTTTTTCAAGTCTTGGAATCCACACATGAGATCTCTTCAAGATGGGGCCCAAGTCTAAACATGAAGTTCATTGTGTATCACAAGCACTTGAGGGCAGAATCAAGTCTGCACATGGTGTTTCAATAATTTTATGCCCACACACACACACACACACCCCTGTGTGTAAGCACCTGAACACACAGTTAATAAAAATAAACTCAAGATTTTTTTTAAATAAAAACCAACAGGTGATATACTACTTATCAACAACCCCTCAACATTTTACAGTACGCATCCATCATTTTGTTTAGTAAGCAGATATTCATATTATTTATTGAGATGTATTTTCACATACAGTAATTTTCACCACTTTTATAGATGGTATGCCTGTTATTCATGTAACCACCCTATAGCAAGAAACGGAATAGATCCACCGCCTCCAAAAGTCCCTTCCCATGCCTTCATAGTTTGGCCTCTCTCCTCTCCTCTACAGTCGCCACTGATTAGATTACTGTTGCTGTCCTTTTCACCCCTCCCTTTCCTCTCCCTCATGCTGGGGATTCAGTTGGTCTACCTACATGCTATGTGAGTGCTCTTACACTGAGCCCTTCTGTTATTTTTTTTTTTAATTTAAGCGTGTGAGAGAGTGTACAGGTATGTGGGTTTCCAAAGAGACCAGAATAAGACATGAGATCGCTTGGAGCTGGAGTTGTTATAGGAGGCGTGAGTTCTGGGAACAGAACTCCAATCCTCTATAAGGCAGCCTTCTTAACGACTGAGCTATCTTCCCAGCCCTTTTGATACTTATTTGAGACTTTTCTCTGGCTGGCCCCATACAATCTTCTTGTCTCGACCTCCTCAGCATTAGGATTCTAGGTATGCGTCATCACCTCTAGCTTGTGTTATATATGAAATTATATGGCAAGCAACTTGTTTTATACTTTGATTTTTTTTTAAGTCTGGCGTATTTCATTTAGAATAATGATTTTGTGTGCCTCTGTGCTGTGCTTTTTCTGTGACTGAGTTGGATTCCGCTATGAGCATGGAGCACAACTTGTTTGTCCACTCCACAGTTAATTGGCTGATGGGCTTTGGGGTTGTTTTTAACTTTTGTCAATTCTGAGTAGAACTGTTATAGACATCTATACACGGGTTTCTATGTAGACAAAAACTTTTATTTCTCTTAGGAGAATTAGCAGCAATTGGATTATTGTCCCCACGATATACACTAAGTATATCGAATTGACTTATAACATTTTTGCTTCTCTTATATTCTCATAACATCATGGAAGGAGCTCCCTTTGCTCCAGCATCTTCACCGAAATTTTATTTTTTTTTCTGCCGTTGTGGCATTCTAGTACATAGGCAGAGAAATTTCAACAGAGCTCCAGTTTGCATTTCCCTAACTATTAAAGATGTTGACCATCTTCTCAGGGGCTTGTTCTGAACCTCTACACTGTGGATTGTGTTGTAAAGATTCTTTACATAGTGGCTTACATAGTCTTATATAGTCTAGATAGTGATACTTCATCCAAATTGTATTCTATGAATATTTTCTCCCTTTTCATGGTTTTCTTCAATTTCTTCTGAGCTCTTGCTTGCTTGTTTCATTTTTGTTTTTGAGACAGAGTCTCTCTGTGTAGCCCTGGCTGTAGAACTCACTCTGTAGAGCAGGCTGACCTTGAACTCACAGAGATCCATCTGCCTCTGCTTACCAAGCCCTGGGATTAAAGGCTTGTGCCATCGCACCTGGCCGAAAAGCAGTTTGGGGTTAAAGAACAGTTTATCTGAGCGTCATCTGCAAATGTTGACCCTGGAGATGCAGCAATAAGTATTAATATATACATTGCATCTATCCGTTTATAGACTACTATTTTATTGTATAATCACTAATAATTTTTCCATCGCTAAATATTACTTGAAGCAGGATTTGGAATATGCACTACATAGCATTCTCTTAGCCACATCTTAGTTTAGCTAAGCCTCTGTTTGGGAGATAATTATATTAATTCCCTCCAAAGCAAAACAAAATAAGAAAGAAAAGAAATGCATGATCAATATACTTGCACAGAAGCCTCTTCTGTGCAATTATTTTCTTAGTATGAACGCTCACCACTAGGAAGGCCTCCAAAAGACATAGTGCTCACTTGCGATTGTCTCTTGGAAAGACTACCGATGTCTTGAAGCAAAGACTGTCTTGTCCGCTGTGTCATGCCTATACATGTGACAAAGAGCCTCACATTTACTGGAGAGAACTGTTGATGTTACTGCATCTTCTCTACTTTCTCCTCAGAACTTCCTCTGTCCTGCAGACATCTATCTCCTTTGCTTTCCCAGATCAAAGAGGAGACGACCTGCCAAGGAGATTCAGTCCAGGGCAGCTGAGTGGCAAGCCCAGTTGTTGCTCAACATTACCCTCAAGGGGCCCCACCCCCCTGCAGTTATAAAGCCCTAGTGAGGTGAGGTTGGGCAACCACAACTGGCACTCAGCCTCCAGAGCACCAACAAGGCACTGGCACACAGGCGCTATGGCAAACGACTTGCAAGTCCCGCTGTCCCCGCTGAAAGGGCGGCACGCTCCTGCAGGTAGGTCCCCCGCACCGACGTGGCTCCGGCAGCTGCTGGGGCTATCCTTGCCCCCTTTCATCCTCCCAGAAGCAGTTCAGCGGAGCCAAGGTTGGCAGTCCACAACTGTCCCAGCAGCCTGAGCTCCTCTCTGGCTGTAGATGAGCTGGGACATACCCTCACCTGCTTGAGTTACCCCGTGGGGATAATACCCTACTCAGTGTTCCACCGCTCACGCCGCTTCTGTAAGATACCCGTGGTTAGGATGTCATACTAACCCCGTGCAGAGAACAGTGCCCTTTTCCTGCTTCTGGAGTCTTTGGGGTTGGGCAAAGCTATCAGCACCTTTTAATAAGCACGCAAGGACTGGAGGGGCTCTGACATCTAGAGTGTCTCCCTTTGTTCAATGCATGCTCTTCGCATCGACTCTGTGGGCTATAGACCCTGGTTCTCCTGTAACTACGTATATGTTTACATAGCTTGGCTAGCATGCACGGGCCTATTTTTAGTCAGCTTTACATTCTTCCAACTGCTGTCCTTGTCTCCTGACATCTCAAAAACTTGGCTGCTTTGTGCTGGCCTGTCTTTATCTACAGATCCTGTTGTTTTTATAATGCTTGGGTACCTCTCAGAGGAGGCTGAGACCTCCGAGCCTCAGGCCAGCATGGCAGGCACAGGCTGTGCAGAGGCTGGGAGATCTGATGGAGACCCAGCGCATTCTGGAAGGCAGCCCAGTAGACTAGACTTTTCTGACGTCTTCTAGACACCACGTCCAATCTCTTTTGTTGGTCTACTGACACGCTACCCTTGTACTTGTACTTAGCAATTTTTAACATTAAAAATGTAAAGGTATTGATGCGAACGAATGGGGGAGGGGGGGCTGTGTATCCAGTCGTTAGGGGGACTCGTATATTGCACAGAGTCCAAGAAATACGCCACTCCCTTCATGCCGCCTCCACCCCAGGCCTTCAGATAATGATCCAACTAAAAAAAAAAAAATCTGATTTGCTACAGTACATTTATGCACAAAGTTAAACTTAAACACGTGGTTCCTTTGGCTTAAGTCAATTTCAAAAGTGCAAGTTTGAACACCACCACCAGGAACTGCCTGTCCCCGTCACTAATGGTTGCTAATTACTCTGTGTACATAGCGCACCATGACTCCATCAAGCATGTCACAATGCCTCCAGCATGACAATGAATTGTTATCCACTGTGGCATTGCAGATAAGAGGTTCTGGATAATTGGAAAGGAGAGGCAGGCCGACCTGCATCCCCACTGAGCTCGAGAGAACAAAGGAGCGTCACCCTTCAGCTGGTGCCCCATATTTTTTTTTTTTTTAAGTCTGAGCCAGTCTGCAGTATTGCAAGTTGTTATTTATGGAGCAAAACTCGTAAGATGCCAAGAATTCTATTAAATTTTCACCCGATATTTAGAAGCAAAATACAGATGTCTGGCAGCAGGAAGCTAATGTCATGAGGTGGGAAGGTAAGGCAAGGCAGTCAGAATCTGACAGAGTAGGGTTTGAGCTTCACTTGTAATTTGCATCTCGGAGTCTCAGATTTTTTTTTTACCTATGGAAAGGGATGATAAGTAACAGCAATCTGGTAAAGCTACTGTGTGACGAGAAGGGACAGTGAGCATAAGTAAGGGATGTGACACTTGAATGTTGACCCCTTTAAAACGCAGGCCTCGCAAGACCCACTGTGGTCAGGAAAATGCAGAATGATGCTTCTGGACTCCAAGGCTTTCTGGTGTGGGATCCTCGCTGGCAGCTGCTGCGGGACTCCGGACAGAAAACAATTGCACTGGGGAAAGACACTAGCGATCGCCATCCTAGCTATGAATGGAGCCACTCGGAAATCAGCTAGCCATGACTCTCCAACCCCAAGCGTGTGTGCTGGGCACTTCTTTACGTGTGTTAATGTAACAGATCACACCAATGTTAGCCTTGATTTCACATTTATGCCCTGGAACAAGACAATGTCAGTCATGAAGTGGCCTGGGCTCTAGGAAGCATAACTGAATTTCCCGCTGTTTCGGTTTACCTTTATCTTAGTTTTATAATAACCCCATTGCGTGAATGGCAATACCAAAGTGTTGTGAGCAGAAGACGGTCCAGGGATGCCAAATGTGTGATGAATAGGAAGACAAACAGTCGCTCCTCAGGTCATCTCCAGTCCTGCACGTTTTAAATTGACTTAAGTCAAAAAAAAAAAAAAAAATCAGAAATGTTCTGTGGTTCAGCTGTGAACTGCCAGAAGCATTTTCTGGCTTGTGAAGAAAACAGGAAAGGTTGTGAGGAAAGGTTATCATGAAGAATCCCAGAGGTGACCGTAAGTGCCTAAGAACCAGTGTCTTTTAAAACAAGCAAAATGGAGGGTGGCGGGGGTGGGAGGGTGGCATAGGTCAGTGTGTGTGCGTCAAAGAATACATAAAAGATATTCTATTAAAACAATAAAAATAGGCCAGGCTCATGCCTTTAATTCCAGCACTCAGGAGGCAGAGGCAGGCAGATCTTTGTGTATTCAATGACAGCCTGGACTACAAAGAAAATTCCTCATCAGCTGGGAATCTACATAGTGAGATTCTGTCCCCCCGCAAAAAAAAAAAAAAATTAAAAAGACATGAAAACTAAACAAAATGAAGGCTAGGTTTTTCTCAGTCCAGCTGGTAAAGTCGTGAAGAATAGGGGGTTTGAAAGAGAAGTGTATGAGATCCACTGCCCAAAACATCGCGGAGAGAAGGGCTGTTGACTGCAAGGGCAGCCGCCAGTCGCTCAGAGTCACTCTTACGCCTGCGTAACATTGAAGCTCCTAGACACGGCTGCCGCACTCTAGATAAATGCCGCTCTGCAGAGAAGCCACACAAAGGAGCACACTAAAAGTCAGAGAGGCCAAGAGACCCTGCTAACACCACACATCCCTGAGATTGGAAGGTAATTGGCTTTGTGATGAAATTTTCTTGCTCCAAAAAAGCCCCTTCTCTTGAGAATTTTTCAGGGGTCTTGATTGGCCACCAAAATTCGCTGACAAGTCAACCCTGACTGTCCACTGAGTAGCCTATAAGCATTGGCCTCCTCCTGAGATCTTCAAGTAAGTTTTCAGCCGTAAAGCAGAGTGTGGGCAAACTTTACATTTTCTTGCCTCCTTTAACACATTCCCCCACGGTCTAGGGAAGGAAAGGGGCCAGTTTCTCTTACAGGCTGGTTTGGTGCTTGTCTATTCACTGTCAAATACTGGGAAAAACCTTAACTAGAAACTGCATAATTTGAGACTATAAGATCAACCTTTGAAAAACTACAAACCACAAACTCTACCACAAGAAGTCAGCTCTAACACAAGACAAGAAGGGAAAGTTTCAGTCCTGTACCAACAAAGGTTTTCTAGCAAAACAACCCCCCCTTAAAAAACATTACTTTATACTTCTGTAGATTCTAGTTCATTTTACTTGCCAAAAGTACTGACAATCTTATTGTATTTATATTCAAATTTGTATTTATGGTCTATTAAGATAGTAAACCTAGTCACATTTTACTGTATCTAATTGCAGTTGGTTTTACACAAATATTCTAGAGAAAATACAGTCTAAATATGAAGCTGAAGGCGGGTGCATGTAAGTTTGAAAGGGTTGATTTAGACACAGTGGCTCCTTAGAAAGACCTTCCAATCATACGCGGGGTCAAGAAAACAGGCCAGGGTGATTGTCGTAGGCTATAGTGGCAGTTTGTCTAGATCCTGTGAGACCAGTGTTCCCAGCAGAGCTTTGAAGATGACCCTCCCATAAACTGGTTCCAACTGGTTCACTCACCCCAAGTTTGTGTGAGCCTTATTCTATAAACCAGGGCATCCACCCACAGAACTGGGATATCTTCTGTCTTGCCAAATGAAATCGTCCTCCCTAAATGTCTTTGCTTTAGTCTTAAGAATGAAGAACTCCTGCAGTGTGGGTTTCTAAAATATCCCTTGGTGTTTGGTTCCCTGTTAAATGTGTACGCCCTTTCCAAGGTGAGGCAGGTGATGGACATTCTTTTAGCAACAGATTAGGACACCTGGCCCTGCAGAACTTCGGTGACCCTCACCTGCCTCTAGTAGTCTTACTGGATTGCACAGCTCCCTCCCTGTGACCCCCCCCCTTTCTCTCTCTCTCTAATTGCTCTCCTTAGGAGACTCTCAGAGTCCTTCCAAATGAACTAAACATTGCCGAAAACAAAGATCTAATGAACCACATTAAGGAAAAAAACTCATATGATCATATCCATAAATGTTTTAAAAAAATTGTTGAAATCTAATATCTCTTCAAATAATAAAATGATATAGAATTATAATAAAAGGATAGTCCCTAAATGTGATGAAAATTCATAATGTGTGTATTATAGGAAAAGAATGTAGGAATAGAAGGCCACACAAAGAATGTATTACATTTAATAAGGAAACACAAGCTTTAAAAATCAGAAAGACAAAAATGTCCACAATCGTTCGAGGCCAGCATGGACTACAAGAACTAGTTCTAGGACAGGAACCAAAAAGCTATGGAGAAACCCTGTCTCGAAAATCCAAAATAAATAAATAAATAAATAAATGTCCACAATAACCACATTTTTTCTAAAGGAGACATATTATTCTTTGTAAATTATATTTTTCACCTAGAAAACCTATAGAAAGTTATAATAAGCAATAATAGAATTTGCTACAACTTAAGTATAAAATTAATTACAGTTAACTTACTGATATTCAGCTAAATTTTTTAGGTTCAAGTTTGTATTTTGGGCATGATGAGTAGACCTGATTTACAATAGCAATATCAACAAAGATAAAATGCTTACTAAAGGGGAACCTAAGCATAAGCCTACAAAATTAATCTGCACAAATTTTCAAGGGGCTCAGAAGAGGTAAACAATAGAAAAACCACACATATTCTCAAATACAGAGCCACCAGGAGTATAATGACGCGAATTTTCCTCTTTAACAATATCCATAAATTTACCCAAGTGAGGTGGTATAATCTCAGTTCTCAGGAGGTTAATGTAGGAAAGCCACAAGTTCAAGGCAACCCTGGAAAACACAGTAATACTGTATCTCAAAAGAAAAATCTTATCAGTTAAAAATAATCAAAAATATATCAACAATAATATATAGGAAATTAGCTGAGCAGTGGTGGTGCTCGTCTTTAATTCCAACACTCGGGAGGCAGAGGCAGGCGGATCTCTGTGAGTTCAAGGTCAGCCTGGTCTACAAGAGCTAGCTCCAGGACAGGCTCCAAAGTCACAGAGAAACCCTGTCTCAAAAAATTTGTAGACATACAAAAAAAAAAAAAAAAGAATTTGTAGGGAATTGACAAAATTTTAAAGTAACAATAGATCATAAAATTCTTTAAATAAAATGTCACAAGATGAACTGTCAAGTATTATAGTATACTATACAAATTAATTGAACAGAAAGTTCAGAAATACTCATAGATGTACATGCTTTGACAGACTCTTATATACTCCCATATATATGTATATGTGGTGGTTTGAAAAAAAATGGTCCCCAAAGAGAATGATACTTTTAGGAGGTATGGCCTTGTTGTAGAAAGTATATCACCATTGGGGCAGCTTTGAGGTCTCTTGCTCAAGCTTCCCTCAGTTTGACGGTCAGTTCACTTCCTGTTGCCTGCAAGATGTAGGACTCCCAGCTTCAGCACCTTGCCTGCCTGCACACCGCCATGCTCCCTGTCATGATGAAAATGGACGAAACCTCTGAAACTGTAAGCGAACTATTGTAGGATATTTGTACACTGTATGATATAAAGAGGTATTGCTGTGATTGGGATAAGAAAATCCTGAACGGCTAATAGTTAGGCAGGAGAGTAGAGGTAGGACTTCTGGGAAGAGAGAGAACTCTGGGAAAAGAAAGGAAGACTAGCCAGCAAGATATGGAGAAGAAACAGGAGGTACAAGATGGAAGAAAGGTAATGCCACGTGGCAGAATATAGATTAATATAAATGGGTTAACTTAAGTTATAAGAGCTAGCAGGATAAGCCTAAGCTAAGGGTGAGCTTTTGTAATTAATAACAAGTTTCCACGCTGTTATATGTGAGCTGGAGGTCCCAACGAAAAAGCTTGCTACAGAGACCCATCCCAATAAAATGTTTTATTCATAAGAGTTGCCATGGTCATGGTGTCCCTTCACAGCAATAGAAACCTACCAGAGATAATAATGTTTGTATGTATATATATATATATGTGTGTGTGTGTGTATATATACATACATGTCTAAGAACTCAGTGTACAATAAAGGTGAATTTCAAATTGACAAGGAAAAGATTAATTTTCAATATTTGGATCAACTAAAACAATGTTACATCAAACCAGGTGTGTGGTGTGTGCCCATAACTGCAGCCCATGGGTGGTAGAGGCATGAGAACTTGGAGTCTGAGGGTAGCTTGGGCTACACAGGGAGTCCTGGGTTCATAGCAAAATCCAGTCTCAACAGCCTCAAAACAAAGCAAGACAAAGTTGCTTGCCTCTTCTTTATGACTTGTATCAACTGTATCATTGAAGGACCAGGGACATGAGGGTGTAGCCGGAGCATGTCTAGAAGACAGCAGAGAACGGTCAGCAAAAATCCCATTTCCTTACAAATCCATCAGGGACTGACAAGCCTACATAAGAACAATAAAGGTTTGCAATGGGCAAACATTATCAATAAGGAAAAAAGCAGTAACTGGTACAATTAATCACTCTGCATTTCACAAACTGCTCCTAAAATTCAGTAAGAAAGAGACAAGAGACTAGTAATCCAGTGTGGGGTGGGGGGGAGGAGAGCTGGACAAAAGTCACGGAAAAGAAAATACAAACACCCTTCTAAAACAAGCTTGAACTGTAATAACAAAAAGGAAATGCAAATTAAAGCAACGAGATACTGTAACCTGGAGTTTAGGGACAAAAGCCTTGGCTCTGGCGGCCCCAAGTAGCTAAGTTTGGCCATTGTCCCCAACATGCCAGTGAAAGACATGAGCAGTGATCAAAAGCAGAGAAGAGGTTTGATCCGTGTGCTTCCGGAAAAGGAACAGACGAAGAGATCCAGGGACCCCAACTTCATCTTCCAGGCCCTGGCATGAGCTTGAGGCTTAGGATTTATTGTTTTTTTTTTTTTTTTAATATCAATGTATGTATGTGTGAGTCCAGAAAAGGCTGTTGAGCGACCCAGGTGCCTGAGCTTAGTGTGGATGCTGGGACGGAACCAGTTCTCCCCAAGATTGCAAGTGTGCTCTTAGTGCAGATCCGTGTCTCTAGTCCCAGTCCAAGCGTTAGGTTGAAATACAAGGAGAGTCAGGAAGGATCATGTGAAGCCATTTTCTTTCCCCAACCAACCTCCCACTTTCTAACACCTAGGCATAGAGAAGGTGACCCAAATGGAGGCAACAGCACAAAATGAAGGCTGGGATGCTGGGCTTCCATCCTGCTTCCAGTTACTTACTTACAGAACCCGAGACGGCTTCTCTGCGCCTGTTACAGCTCTAATCTTTAGCTTATTAGCTGATGTTACATTTTGTAGCTCATTGTCTGGAGAAACAATTGCTACCATGGCAGCTGGTGAGACTGTCAACTAGCGTAACCTCTGTGAGGGCCAGTTCAGCCAGATTTAAGAAAACTCCAAATACACAAAGCAAAGTCACTTCTAGAAATACAACGCACAGATAGCTGTGTGCTGGTACGATGCCATGTATAAAAAGGATACTCACCGTAGCTCTGTTTATGCATTAGAAACAAGCAAGACACTTAGGATTAGCAAAGTGGCTGAGTCAACACAGAAGTTTTTCATATGGAATTGCAAAACAGATATTAAGAAGAAAGACACACTGGGCGGTGGTGGCGCACGCCTTTAATCCAGCACTCTGAAGGCAGAGGCTGGAGGATCTCTGTGAGTTCGGGGCCAGCCTGGTCTACAGAGCGAGTTCCAGGACAGCCAGAGCTACACAGAGAAACCCTGTCTTGGGGTCGGGGAGAAAAAGGGAAAGGAGAAGAGGAGGAGAAGAATAAGGATGGAGATATGTAGAATAAAGACAGAGAAATGCGGAACATCCTATCAAATGTGTGGTTAAGGCAGGGGGAAGTGAGGGGATAAATCAGATAATAGAACAGTTAGTATCTTATTCTACCATTTAAAACAAAGAATATGTCTAGTAACATCTGTTGGTGAAAACTAGGAACTCGGAACTTGGAATTGAGCAGTGTCCAGGGAGATTGTCTGCAGGCTGGAAAGAGATGGTGGCAGGGAGTCACAAATCTTTTCATGTGTCCTGATCTGTGCACCTTCTGCACTTCATTATTAATATGTATAAGAAGAGTGATAAAGCCAGCTTGAGACACAGGTTTTCTTTATTTTCCATACTGGAATTAGTTTTAGAGAATTGCCCAAGTGGCGTTTCCATGAAGAGAATTTATCAGGTTCAAACAAATCAACGTCCCCGTAGCCACTTTTCATTTGAGCGTGTCAGACTTTAGATGCGTGATGTTTCCGAGAAAGGAGGGAAGTATTTGTTGTGACTTGCAGTCTGAAGCGGGCTGTTCCTTCTCCAATGCTGATTTCAGCTGACACTGTTAAACACTTAAGTTGCTTTTAGGTCGTCTGTAGCCTAATTAACACTAATTGAACTCTTGAATGGCGTGACTATTAATACAATTAATTACTCATTAGAACCTCAGAGCTTAGCCAACATGGAGGTTTGGGGTCTGAGATGAAGGTGGCTATCCCCTGGAATTCAGAGCCCTTCGTTTGAGTTAAATGTCTGTGAACACCCTGAAATTTGGCTCATCTCTCCGAATCTGACATTTGAAAGCTTTCATTGAAAAAACAAAAGTGCAAGCCATGCAAAAAGCTTTAATCTTGTGGGGAAACAGAGGGGTCACATTGTAATTATGGGTTGCTATCTTAAAGAATGTAATTGGTTTGATAACAAGGGACAAAAAAAAAAAACCTGTTTTTCAGCTAAATGCCTAAGGGAGTGTGTTGTTATTCTTCCTAAGACTAAGGCGTGACCTTCTGCCTTTTCAACCTCGTTTCCACCTCTCTGATCAGAATAAAGCTAACCCCAGACCTTCCCCGCTCCCTGCCCTGGTTTCCTTAGATTTTCTTTTTCTTTAATTCTGTTGTTTAGATAAAAGTGTTTTTTCTATGTCAATCTGGAAACGCATGTTAGATGGGGGTCCTGTCTGAAAAACAAAGCTGTTCTCACGTGCACGCCTGCTTATTGTTCCAGTGAAAGCTGGAGGGATGCGGATTTCCAAGAAACAAGAGATGGGCATTTTGGAAAGACACACCAAAAAAACAGGACTGGAGAAAACAAGGTAGGGACCGCTTATAGTTCTGCTCCCAGAAGTTATTTGGGGACAAACCGAGTCCCCCAAGAATTTCGGGGGAGGCAGCCAGGCTTGGGTAGAGGCGAGCATCACGATGAATATTGGTTCTGGGATACCAACTGGACCGTTTCCCCATTACACCCTACCCATTCTCCTCTCTGCAGCCACCCGGCTGCCTCCTAAAGTGGTCCTAAGTGCATCCGACCCCAAAGCTCATCCATTCATCTTATTTTCTTTAAAATACTGCTCCTCCTCTGGCCCTTCTCATAGTGTGCTCTATGATATGAATAAAGAATAACCGCCTCTGAAATTTTGAAATCGCCATTCACTTATTTAAGAAAATAGTCACTGCGCACTGGCTAGTTTTATGTCAACTTGACACAGGCACAGCACAAATGACGCAGTCACTTGGGAAGAGGAAAGCGCAGTAGAGAAGATGCCCCCACCAGAGAGGCCTGTAAGCAAGCCTGTGGGACATTCTCTTGCTTGATGACTGATACAGGATGGCCCAGCTCCCTAAGAGAAGCTAGCCAGTACGCAGCATCCCTCCATGGCTCTGCTTCAGTACCTGTCTCCAGGTTCCTGCCCTGCTTGAGTTTCTTGTTTTATTATTTTATTTATTTATGTTTGTTTGTTTGTTTTTGGTATAAGTTTCTCCATCTGCATGTATTCCTGCACACCAGAAGAGGGCATCAGGGCATCAGATCCCATTATAGATGGTTGTGAGCCACTATATATAACAGTCAGTGATTGACTGTTACCTGGAAATGTAAGAGTAAACTAACCCTTTCCTCCCCACGTTGCTTATGGCCATGGTGTTTGTCACGATGACTGAAACTGTAACAATGACCTTGAAACTTGAGCTTGAAAGCACACCAACACTGTGGTTGTTTTCCTCCCTCCTTCTTCTACCATGACCTTGGTATTATAAAGTTAGAGGTCAGAGGTGTGTCCTATACACTCATGGACTGATGACTTGCTTAAGGAAAATGAGTGTATTTAGAAAAGAAATGAATGCACTGACCCGATTTCTCCAAGTAGCCCAATGAGGAAAGATGCTTTGGAGATTGGTTTCCATGGAGCACTGTGAGTGATTCAAAAGGAATTGTTTAAAAGATGCTCAGAAAACCTGCTTAAGTCTCACGAAGAGAATGTGGAGGGAAACAGACGTAATTTCTTTGTCCTTTTCATACCAAATTATTGGCCGTGTGTGTGTGTGTGTGTGTGTGTGCGCGCGTGTGTAGTGTTTATGTGCATGCATGCTCACACATGTGGAGACCCAAAGTTTCCATCAGGTGTCCTTCTCAATCGTTCTCCACTGAACCATCTTCCCAGCCCCCAAGTAAAGTTATTTTTAAATTACTTTTCAAAGTTTTTTTTCCCAGTATGCGGCAGGGATTTTTGTAAAGGATTTCACACACGAATGAAAGAATGAACTACTGGTAGGTTTCCACTAGTAACAAGTCTTCTACCATGTCTGAGAACCCATGACAGGTCCATAGATTCCCCTTCATTGTGACTCCCCCCCTTACCCTCACTGAGCATAGAATCCTCCAGGTCTACTTTCCTGACAACCACTTCTTACAGAACAGTTTTTACTTATTTTTGTTTGTATACTTTTTATGTTTCGAGGCAGGGTTTCTCTGTGTAGCTCTGGCTTTCCTGAAACTCTCTCTATAGAGCAGAGATATGCCTGCCTGTGCCTCCTGAGCACTGGGAATAAAGGCAGGTGCCACCACCACCCGGCTACAGAACAGTTTTTAAAACACAGGAGAGACTTCTCTCATAATCATTGGTCTAGATCCCTAATAGCTTCTAGCAACCAACACAAACAATCCAGAAAATAAATTCACCAAGCACAGAGTTTGTGTAAGACACTGCACTGTGGACTTGGGCCTGACTGAAACCTTCCTATAACATAGCTTGACCAGAAAGAAAGAAGGTAGACACAAGAGAACACACGCTATCAGGGCTTACTGTATGAAATCCAAAGACAGAACTGGTGGTCTTTGCAGGGAACTGGTTATTCCCAGAGGTCACTGATTTGACAAGTGTTTTAGTTCATGAATCCATGAACTATAGGCTTATAATATGTGCATTGTATGTGTGCATAGTATATGCCAGTGCAAAGATAAAAATCAGTTATAGTAGGAACTTGGTCTATAAAGCGTGGTGTGGCACACGCAGACATGGAGACAGAATGTTGTTCTCTAGGTGTTGCTGAGCACAGGAAAAACCTGCAGGAGTCATTTAACCTCTTCAGCAGCGGTATTTTTGGAAAAAACACAAAACTTGGGTGTGTGTTTGTGTATGTGTGTGTATATTTTGTGTGTGTGTTTGTGTATGTGTGTTTGTGTATGTGTGTTTATAATTTGTGTGTATGTGTATGCATACACAGAGAGCAGATGACAGCTCCAGGTATTGTTCCTCAGAAACAATTTGCCTTTTTTAATAACAGGCTGTCTCACTGGCCTGGGCCACCAAATAGGCAGGGCTGGCTGGCCAGCAAGCCCCTTTCTTTACCTCCCCAGTGCTGGCATGACACCTCCATACATACCTGGCTTTTCTTGTTTCTTCCCTGTGGGTTTTATAGATCAAACGCAGGTCTATCAAGCACTTTACTGACTGTAACATCTCCCCACCCCAATAAGTCACTTTGTGGGGGTGGTGCTGAGGATTGAATCTAGGGTCTGTAGAAACCAGGTCCACACTCTACCAACCACTGAGCTACACTCCCAGCCCCAAGCTTTGGCTCTTATTTAAAGACCCTTTTCATCTTCACAGTGCCGTCGCAAACGCTGCCAAAATCCAGATGCTGGATGCTCTGAACGACACGCTGGACAAGGTGAGCCATCCGTGCGGCGATTCTCATAAAACTCTGACTCTGTATTTGCCCGGTGGATCAGGTGGCTCCTGTGTGCCGGCAGACGACTAGCTGAGATTTTTCCAGCCCCTGAGTTTGATGTCCTTGTGGAAGAAATCGATCTGTTCTCAGTTAGAGACACATAAAATAGTTTAAATGAGAAGAACTGTTTCATTTAGAGATTCTCCCGAATCCCTGAAGTGTCTATTAATAAATCACTTCAAAACAAGGTAGGGAATGATGAAGTGAGCGTCATGATGGTGAGTCTGTAGAACTTTTCATTTCTCCTCCCAGATATTTCTCAGGGACCGGCTTGTTTTTTACAAAAGGCAGCATGGTATGCCGGGACCCTTCTTCTGTACCTCAGCATCTCCACAGGAAATATTTGATTTGTGGCCATGGTGGGTAGTGGAGGGCTGAGTGTTTAACGGCTGAGGGCAGCCAGACACCAGCTGGGTTTGTCTAGTAAAACACGTTTAAAGAGGGTAAAACCACTACTATTTTTCTTTCTAGAGCTTGAATTTATCCCAAGTAGCTCAAATAGTGCAAAAAAGTCATATTGAGCAAACAGCAATTTGGGGTTTGGGACTCTGCAGTTGTCGCATCCTCAACCCCATTCACCCATCCTTCATCCATCTGTCTGTCCATACATGCTTGTCCCCACATCTTCACTCCCCATCCCTATCCCTACCAAACTCTGTAGGTAAACTTTATGCTCCCTTGTTCTATTTTCACAAAGCAAGTGCCTGGATCCTAAGGGTAATAAAGAGGACCACCCTCTTTCTTCTGCTCACCCACTGACTGAACAAACAGGACGGGGTTGCCTCTGTTTAGCAAGGACTTGAAAGTTGTAAGGGCATTTCCTACTTCTCTGCCACACTACTGAGACTCAGCAATTATTCTGAAATAAACCAGTAGACAGATCAACAGGGAAAGGCCTAGAAGTTTATTGCATGCCCAGGAGCTAAACAGAAAAGTGAATGTCCAAGTAGGACATTCACAGAGTAGGAGCATTCACAGAATGTCCAAGTAGGACATTCACAGAGTAGGAGCATACACCCTTGCAGCATAAAGGGAAAGGACGTGGAGAAGGTGAGCGATACAGAATATGAATCACTTTTAGGGGACTGAGTGGCTAGAAGAACAGCCGACAGCCTGCTACCAAGTCTGCTCTGCGCTCTGTGTGGGGGTCAGCTCTTGCCTCCCTTCCTGAGGTCTGCATCCATTTCTTGGCTCTCAGATATCTGGGACAGAGATTCACAGCCGCAGAGAATGTCCTGGAGGGTCTGGGTAGAAAGAGGGCTTCAGTGGGAGCCCCTCCTGCACCTGCCGCCTACTAAGCTTTCTCATTGTGTGGTATCAGTGTGCCAAAGGGCCATACTTTAAAGTATTGTGTTGCCAAAATCAGGATCCGAGGAGCAGCAACTCAGCTCTAGAATGAGTCATGCCTTTCCTCTTTCTCTGTGATGTGTATCTGTCTGTCTGTGTGACTGTGTCTGTGTGTCTTTTTGTGTGTCTGTGTGGTCTTATGTGTGTACACAGAGACCAGAAGAGGGTACCAGGTATCCTCTATCGGAATCCACCCATCCCTTTTTGAGGCAACTACCTTTTTTGTCTTCCATTGCACTTGTATATACACAGGGTACATAAGAAAAAAAATTAATCTGTAGGAGGTGGTGTCACAAAACTTTTATTCCTAACACTTGGGAGGCAGAGGCAGATGGATCTCCTTGAGTTCAAGGCCAGTCTGGTCCACATAGCCAGTTCCAGGACAGTTAGGACTACATAGATAGACCCTGTCCCAAACCAAAAATAAAAAAAGAGATCTGTATCTTTTTTGATGTTTTCCTCCTGTATTAAAGTGGTTCCTCCCCCATACTATACATTATCATGAAGACCTAACTGTTGGTCAGAAGAAATGCGGTAGTATAATTGAGGAGCGTAGTTTTTGTATTTGCTAACATTCTTTCTCACTTTTGGCTAGTTAAGTTGAGTCCCAAGAGCCCACTATGTTCCTGACCTTGATTTTGTAATAGTCTAACAGGGCTACTTCCTATAAGGCTTCACCAACCATTCAGTCATTTGACTACCAATGGTAGGGTTTAAGACTTGGGAGATTAGAAACACCCCCCTCCCAGAGGGCTGGAACTGGATTAATCTAGGTGAGGAGCAGCCTGAGCATTCCCCTCCCACTGTTTGTCCACGGAGACTTGCTTCTCTCACCCCACCCTGCTCTTGCTGTTCCTCTGCCTCTCCCACCAGCTCTCCCCACCCACCTCGCCACCCGACACAGAATATTCCCACTGTGCAGTGGCCGCTCACATTGCCTGATGTCACTGTAGAAAAGGCGTTGTGTGACCCAGATGCTTTCTGTGCTAGCATCTGGGAGACCCGGCCGTGGCTAACTACTGCCAGTCACTTTCAAAGGCAAGTTGACTTTCAAGATGTCATATCGTTCCTCAAAGATTTACAGTTTCTTAACTTTTCTTTTTAAGACAGAAGCGGGAAAAGATACTTTTTTTGAGTTGTGTTCTCAGCACGCAAAGGTATCTGATTAAACATTAACAATGTTTATGTTTTGTAGAGGTGTGTGACATTGGAGTCTGATTAAACTTCAGTGACATTTTCCAAATCACCAGGCGTTGGGTCATCCACTGGCCAAAGTTGCCCAGCTGCCTGTGAAATGGGATCTTAGGAAGGAAAACTATCAAAGGTGTCTGTGAAATTAGGAGGGTTCCTCTCATTCCACAGATTAACATCTCCCTCGGAGTGTCCTTGAATGTCACTGATGTGGAGTGTGTGTGTCTCTTTGAGTGTTTTGCTTAATAGGCTGTGGAAATGTAAGCGCCAACCCTGGAGTCGGAACTTAACAGCCGGGGAAGATGGATGGACGAGCTGGCATCCGCTCAGACCACCACACTTCCGCCTCAGAAGCAGAACCTGCCCTGGGTCTCCTTCCCTCTTGAGTTTACTTCAGAGCTCCTGGCAGACCCGCTTTGAGCAGACCTCTATGCTGGCTGTCTTCCCTGAAACTAAAAATAGAGGGTTTGTACTCACAGGTGTCTACAAGGAAGGAAAATTCTCAACACAGGAATCTCTCTCGTGTTGTCATGTTCACTGTCACCCCTGTAATGAAGCCAGGGGGCAGAACACACACACACGCACACGCACACACACACACCTCAACCTCGAATTCTTCCTCTTGTGTTCTGTTAGGTGCTGTTACCTTGGTGGCTCAGACAAGAAGCAAGTTTTATTCTACTAACTCTGTCCCTTTACGCTGACTATTGATTAAAACTCTAGAACTTTCCCAAGATGCTAGAAAAAGATAGATGGTTTAGAACGTATTCTAGAAACTGACTTCTATTTGTTTCCAGTTTTTTTGCTTTCGGTTTTGGTAATCTAATCTCTGTAACTTCAAAGACAAATAATCCATAGCAAAGACCCTGGTTTCCTGGAGCCCAGGCTAGCCTCAGACTCCTGGGCCTCCTGACACCACCACCCCAAATGCTGGTATTACAGGTGTGCCCAGGACAGGGCCACTAACAAGTCCAGGCTTAGCATAGAGACAAGGGGCTCCGGCGCTGTCCCTGCCTTCTGGTTTCCTAGCTCTGCCCATTGCCTCTCACACCTAAAGGACAGTGACAACTGTGGCGTTCTCCTTCCTGTCCCAGCTTCCTGTCTTGGCCCTTCTCATCCCGACTGATCACTCAGACCGCAGTTCGAGTAGAGGCTCCCTTTGTTTTCCTGCTCCCTTTACCTCACGTTTGACCTTCGCTAACTTGCCAGGTTTTCCTTCCTGCCTGTGACTTTTTTTTTTACTGTGATTTAAAGTCAACCTGAAATAACCCATCTGTTTTAAATGAAGCTAAAAACACCCACTCTAGAAACAAACCACTAAAGTCAGTGACCCCCGAAATTTCTTTTAGGCTCTAATGTTAAAAGAAAAAGAAAACACAATACTCTCCCTAACCATACTGCAAAACACATATACACTAATGATAATTGCTCTGACTTAAAAAATAAATAAGTCCCCCATTCGTTTTCAAACTTTAAAGCAACATTTCTAGCCGATATTAAATTATTTTGATCCCTTGTACTGGAAAGTCAGCAGGGGTTCATCCTTGGGGTTAATTAGTATATACTGTATCTGCTCATTGAAAAAGACAAAGTAGAAAAATATTTGTAAGTAAAGCACTAAGAATTTCCCATGATCCTATTCTCTCTGTGTGTGCGTGCATGCATGTGTGTTCACATGTGCATTTAATGATCGAAAAAAGACTTCGCAAAGTCAAGTTTCACATGAAAGTCAATGCCCTTTGCAATAGCTCGGCCGGGGTACTTGAGAAGAGATGGGAGGCACACACTCTCCCTAGTTTAGAAGACCCCAATCAAACAATGTGCTACTTAGAGTCCTAACAGTCTCTCCTCCCCCCCCCCCACCCCATATTTAGCTTGAGTGTCAAAACAAGGACAAATTCAATAGTGATATATTAAGTGCCTAGCAAGCCAAGGCCCCACTTCCTGGCTGGCTAACAGCCGTGTCTTGCTTGAGGTACTTTGGGACAATATTGATGAGCTTGGAAACCCAAAACTGAAGAGACGCAAAGGTCACTGAGTCCAAACTCTTCTTAGGAATAATGCACAAATCACTCAGCAGCTCTCAAACCCTCCCCGTCTTAATTTGCACTGAGCATAAATCCCAGGGGATCTTTGGTCGATGGGAAATTTCTCTGACTGTCAGAAAGTCACACAGTCTGTGTTCATCTGAATGCACTTCCTCACAGCTGAGAATGAGAATCGTTTTCACCTAAAACTAGTGGGCTGCTCCTCAGTGTTCCTTCACCAGGCTGTGTAGTTTGAACCAGGTGGAAGGGCCACTCTTTACGTTGATGTTTTCTAACTTCTTTCAGAGGGTCTTTCTCCTCATAGTTTGATAATTAAATAAATAATTGTCCCATCCTCAGAACCTCTCCTTAAGGTCGCCACATCCTTCTTAGAATATAGTGCTCTGTGTTACATACACTAGTGTTCAAATCATCTGCTGCCATAGATGGGGGTCGCCATTTCTGCTTTTCAGGATGGGACCACAAAAACAAATATACAGCCTGGTAGCATGGTGCATGCTTCTGATCCTAGCCCTTCGAAGGCTGAGGCTGGAGGATCATGAGTTCAAGGCTAGCCTAGACTTTGACTTATATATGTCATATTCCTGTGATAAAAGTTAACGATGCTAATGAAGGAAACAACCATGTAGCATGTACACTCCTGTGGGCTGAGGACTGGAAGTGCCATGGAAGGAAGGTCTTGACAAAGCAAAGAAAACTGTGACTTGACCAACTGTATTGATTTTTTTTACTGTAATGTTGTATAACCCAATGGATCCAATGTGCTATTTCTTCTTCCCTTCTCATCCTTAGCTCAACCATAAATTTCCAGCAGCAGTTCACACAGCACATCAAAAGCCCACACCTGCCCTGGAGAAGGCCACTCCCCTGAAGCGGGCCTACATTATCCAGCAGCCTCGAAAATGACAGGCCAGGATGTAAAATTCAGCCATCTGGTCAACCTTCCCATTATCTGACAGCTCAACAGAAATGACCAACACTTCCTGTAGGCCTGCTGCCCTTGCTTGGTAAATAAAACAACTTTTGTATCTTCCCTTTTTACTTTGGATAATAAAGTTTTCAAAATTATAAATCCAATACATTCCTGGTTTCCTCCTGAATACTGACTCAGAGTTATTACACACAGGCTCAGTTCTCCCTGCAGACAAAGGTGGGGGTGGGGAGGAGAGCACACTGAGCTTTGCAGAAACCAAAATTCTATGCAGACAATGGAATGAATCTTTCAGTTTGTTTGTCTTAGGATGGTGACGTTTTCACTTATGCTGAAATGTTCGTCTCAGTTTCTTACATAAACACATAGTTTGTTTTGGAGGTTTGGTGAGGAAAGACAAAAATAATTAAATTGATTACACAGTTCCTTTTGCCGAGGAATCAAAGATGGAAGGTAAATTGATCACAAGCATATTTTCCCTCAAAGATTATTTTGGTAGAAAGTCATTGATAAACTCCCAGAAGGTGGATGCTCTAGCCTGAGGACATTGTGAGACTATGGTGTACTGATCTGGGCCCCTTTAGAGGCATGGTGCAAAGTAGGGGCTGTCATAACTAAGCCTGCTCCAGCTTCCCTACCACTCCACCACACGGCTAGCTCCTTCTTATGCTTGGGTGACAGTAGGGGACAGTCACATTCCTGCTCCACAGCAGTGGTATCACTCACTGTCCCACCATTCTGCACCCCTTGTTGATCTTACTCTCCAACAATCAACTCTTCCCTCTACTTAGGGAAGGAGATCCATGCTTTGCCTGTCATCAGCTATCATCTTTCCGGTTAGCATCCTCGAGGGCAGTGATTCTCAACCTTCTAATGTTATGAGCCTTTAATACAGTTCCTCATGTTGTGGTGACCCCCAACCATAAAATTACTTTTGTTGTTATGTCAGAACTATAGTTTTGATATTGCTATGAATTGTAATAGAAATATCTAATATGCAGAATAGCTCAGATGTGACTCCTGTGAAAGGGACATTTGGCACCCCTTCCCAGGGTCCCAATCCAACCCATAATGCCCTGCTTTTATGTACCCTACTATTGAGTCTTATCTGGGAAGCCTAAGGCACCTGGTAAACTCTGGTGGGGTGATGGGACAGATTAGCTGCTTCCTCCTCTGTATTGTTAGGATTTTTTTCAGAGATAAGAAAATTTGTTGGGGAGAATATCAAGGTTTCATTCAAAATCAGCATGAGTCCAAAAAATAATTCTAACCACTCCACCTAGGCTTAACCCAGGTCCCAGAATTCTGAGCTATTGTCAGAAAATTCTAAGGTTTAGGAGGCAGGGTTCTACTTCTGTCTTTCACTGATTCTGAAACCTTAAATAAACCACTTACCCTCTGTGACCCTTGTCAAATGGATGCAATTATACATGTCTCCCCAGTTGAAACCTCGAAGTCAAAGTGACCCCTAAGATTCATAAAAGCTATATTAAGGCAGTGAGAGTAAGGTAGAAGCTGCCAGAATGAAAACAGTAAGAGACGAACAACTGTTGGGTGCAAACTGCGGAAGTCCTTGAGCCTACAGATCTCCAGGAAAACCAGAAATGTTAAGCACACAGGGTTGTCTTTCCAAAGGAAAAGATGAAAAACCTGTTCTTCCACCCAAAAAGTTGAGAATTAGGAGAGATTAACAGCCTGTTGGTCTAGGTCATATTAAGTTCTTACAACCAAGACTAGAGGTAGCTAGTAATTCAAATGACCCTTATAGCCAGAGGCTCCCACAAGCTCCAGCAACCAGGACCGAAGGTGGCTAATAGTCCAAATGACCTCTATGTTATCTGTATGACCAGTACCAGGCAATACCCTTCGGCCCTTATGCTAGTACAGGTAGTGGTATCTCTAGAACCCATCTTCTTGGAAAAAATGGCATGCACCCTGAGTTGAGGTTCAATGTAATCATGCTTCCTTGTGCAATAGGGATTATATTACAGCAGGAAACCTTTTCCAACTTATCCTGGACTTCAATACATTGGGAATAAACTGCTTATTAGACTCCCCACAGTCTCATCCAGGTTGACCAAGTCAATCAGTGCCAGGTTTTCATTCTTATCCCTTCATGAAGTTCACTTCCCCATATGCCACCTGCAGGGACACCCCCCCCCTCGAACAAGGGATGGATCCCAACATAGAGAGTTCAGGGGATGTCGAGGATTTGGGTTTGAAGGAAGAAATGACAAAGATGGGATGAGATGGATCTAGTGTCCCAACGGATGTGAGAAGAGAAGAAGGGATGAAGGATGTACTGAGATAGGTCCTAATTTACATCCACACCTGAGTTATTAACTCAGTTAACAAGTCACTAGAAGCAGCAAGTCTAGTGTTACCTTTAGATCTGAAAGGAAACTGGAATTGTCAGAAGAAAAAGGACCAGATCGATGAGAAAATCCCATAGTGATATGGCTACGAGCCACAGGGACTTCTCTCACACTCAGGAAGGAAAACCCTGCACAGATGTGCTGGGACTCCACTCAGGAGCTCCTGCCGTCACAGTTCCAGAAAGAGTTGTGCCAATGGGGAAGGAGCATCCCTGGGCTGGGGATTTCCTTCAGCTCATTTCAAGTCGATTAAAAATGCTAGGTACTGTGCTCCAAAGATGAGGAAGACTGTCCCTGCCAGCAGTGACAAAGGCATGACAGTCAGTCACTAGGAAGCAAGAACTGAGAAGTCATCTGCGGGTCACATGCAGTCAAGAAACCTGAGGTGACTGTGGGAACCAATGACCCATGTCCCAAAACGTTACACACACACACACACACACACACACACACACACACACACTTAAGTTACACCTTTGTTAACAAAATGTCAAACATCCTCAAAGCTTGGGTCAATATAGCGATTGAACCTTCATGTGTTTGATATAGAACTTCGCAATGTGACCAATACTGTTCAGCCATGCCTTCTAGTTCCTTCCCTGCCTCCCCCTCTTTTCCTGGGTTATTTTGGAGCATGGTCCAAATACATAATTTCCTCTAGAAATGTTTCAGTGCATTCTTCCTAAAAGATGGGTGCCTCCTCCCTTTCTTTCTTCCTCTCTCATTCTCTCCCCATGTCTTTGTCTCTTCCCCTTTGCTTAAACAGACTCTTCACCAATACTGTGGAACAAAAGACAGCATTTTTGCTAAGCCACCAGGAATCTTTTACTGTAAAATGGAGATTGTCGTTACCACACTAGTTACAAGAGCCAAAACAAACAAAAGACACAGAGCTGAGCCCATGAAACCAGAGCTGCAAAGGGGAGAGCACACATTAGAAGATGGCTCTCAGACAGAAGGAGCAAGCGAATTAAACAAGAGGCTGCAGTGGGTTAGCTAGAGGGATGGAAAGAAAGTGCCGAGAACATGGATCCTTGCTGAGCACGGTGTATAAAGAACCATCTCCAGGGCTGCTCAAACACCTAGGCTGGAGCAAAACCCAAAGTAAATAGATGAATGACAGACAAAACTGTCTTTACTCCACAGACAGCTGCAAGCTTTCTGTATGAGCTGCATTCTTCAGATGGACCCACAAACCAGCCTTGTATTTGGTGCATACGGTGCATCTAGTGTCAGCTGGGGTCACCATTCCCCTCTGCCTAGATAAGATTACCTTAAATCCATCCCACGGCCCCCCCACACCAATCCCATCTGCAGTGGAAGCTCAGAATATCCTCAAGATGGCTGGGAATTCCCGGTAGTTCCACTGTCACGGTAGCCTCTGATTTCTGATAAATTCATTCGTTGCTTCCTGTCCTTGTCTGCCACCTTGATCTGAACACCCATCTTTTTATGCTGGCTGTCCCCTGCTTTTCCTTTCCTTTTCCTTCTCCTCTTGCTGACTTCAGTCAAACCGGTCATTCAGCTTTTTCTTGTATACCCCAAAACAGCTTCCCAACCCCAACAAGTTGGACATCGACTGCCAGCGCTGCATCCAAATAGGATAGAATGATTGAAGGGTGAAAACTTCATTAGAAAAAGTGAAGTGAGAGGACCTGAGCAGTCAGAGAAAAGGCAGAGAACACTAAAAGAGATATCAAAGGCCTGAAAGGAAACCAAGCCCCTGGAAGGTCAAGCGTGTCTCTGAGGTTAGGTGGGGGCCGTTTCTCTGGGAATGCCTTAGTCCTAGGTCCACAGCAGCCTCTTCCATCCCATAGGAACAAAGTCTAGAGAGGAAGCTGAGAATCTCTGAATAGACAGGCTCTGGTGTAATTTTGACAAGAAACAGAACTGAATTTGAAGAGAGAAATCTTTGAGCGAAAAGACGGGGTGGGACGGGGGTAACCAAATCCCCTCCAAGGGCAAGAGCCATGTAAGTTCAGGCTTTTGTTTAAAAAGAGCAGGGTGGGAGTTGAAAGATTATGAAAGGGACCAGGAGAGGGAAAAGAGATCAATGCATTGATGTGAGCCCTCAAAGCGGCACTGGAAAGATGAAGGAGAAATCTGAACGGGATTCCTTGCCTGTGTACAGCCAAAGGCATGGGCTGGGGGGAAGGGGACTGGAGATGGTGGGCAAAAGGCGGCCTCTGCAGTAAAGTGTGTAGCGTCAGTCGGCCAGGTATAGCGGCAGATGTCAGCGTTATCCACGAGGGCTTGACTAACAATCAGACATTATTGCAGCATAATTTCGGGTGAGCGGGATGCCCATCCAGTAAGCCAGCATGACACTGGACCTCAGGTACAAATTGGCCCTGGAGCTATCAAGCCCTCTGGGTACGATATGCCACTGCTGAAATTATCAGACGCTGAAGAGAAAGGACCCAACGCATCTTCCTCGAGAGCAAATTTCTCAAGACTTGGGAAGTGAGACATGAGACGTAAGTCATCATAACCTTGTGCGAGTCAGGAAACGACCCACATTAGCCTGCACCTTATGCATGTTATTTATTATAAATAAAATTTCTTCAGCAATTCTTAGCTCTTAAGCATTTAATTCCTCTGCTTTTCTTCTTTCAGAAGGGTGTGTTAGTTACTCAAGGATAGAATAGCTAGAAAAAGCAGGTGTAGTCAGGCACCAGTCTTAGGAGGCTGGAGGAGAAGCAAATTCAAAGCCAGCCTGTGCTACAGGGCAAGACCTTTGCTCAAAAAGTCAAAGACAAAATAACAACAAAAG